AAAAAATTATTAAAAAATTATTCCTAAATTATTTTTCATTCTCAAAATTTTTCATGGTTTTCATGACGGCAAAGACTTTGCAATCCGATAAAAACATAAACCTTGAAAGAGGGGCAGGTTGTGTGATATTTTGAGGCTGTCCTTTAGTTAAGAGTTTTATTTTTTAATTTTAAATTATAAAATAAGAATTTTTTTATAATAATATATGTTGTGTTTTCAAGTGATATTGTATAATAAAAACAGAGTTCATGCATTTAAATAATTAAAATATTATCAATAAATTAACATAAATAAAAATTTTATTAAATATATTTTAATAAATTTATAACTTAAATTATATTTTTATTGTACAATTCAAATTTAAAAAAATTCTTTTTTATTTTGTAACTTGTTATATTAGACTATGAAACCCTATAATATAATTTTAGTTACATTATTTTTTAAAAATATCTCTATAAAATATAATGTAAACAAACTCATGTAATTTTCATAAAAAAATTTTAAAAATAATTATAATTGACTCTTTTCTCCATGAAATATGTGGATTTCTGTAAGCATTTTTCGTTTAATTTTAAAAACCTATTGTGGCTTTATGAGAAATTGAGAATCCATATTACCCTTTCGGAGAAGTAGTTACCACCTCCTCGAATTATTCTTGATTTACTTTCAATGTGAGATTTTAACATTTGTCATTGACCACCATTTACACGATTTTAGTTCAAGATTAATAAATATCAACTTGTTCAATACACAACTTAATAAAAGTTTGTTGTTTTATATTTAAAATTGTTTCAATTTGTAAAACAAAAACCTTCAAATAATAATAAAAAAAAAGCCCCATATTCAAACTGTAAAACACTTTTTCCATTAAATAGCCTATACTAGCAATATTCCCGAGAGGGACAAAAAAAAAAAAGACCTTGGTAAAATCAAGGTTGTCAAAATCGAGATTTTACTTAAAATCGTTTTGGTTAGGTGAAATCGAAATCGTAAAATCGAATCAGTAAAATCGAGATTTTACAAAATTTAATATATAATATATAATAAATTATATAAAATCCAAATTAAATAACAATAAATCAAATTTAGAGTTAAAAACTTGAAATTAACTAATTAAAATCTAAATATCCAACAACACAAATAAATTAAACGAAGAAAATGACTTAAATTTAAAATTTTAGATGGTTAAATCAAATTTGTCTCAAATTCCCGATTAAAATGTTGATTTGTAGTTGGGTTGTGTGGGTTGTGGGTTTTTAAAATGAAAAATGACCTTAATTTATGGGTTATCTAGTCAAAACTCACTAATCCAAGATGAGAAGTCCAAAAGGAAATAGGTTAAAAGTCCAGCTGCCAAACAGAAGGTAAAATCGAGATTTTACCTTATTTCACCTGATTTCACGATAAAATCTAGATTTTATCGTGAAATCCTCAGATTTTATGAATTTCAGATTTTAGTATAGATTTTGCACGAAATGCCTTGCTGAAATCGTAAAATCGTAAGATTTTAAGATTTAAATCTAAATTTTGACAATAATGGGTAAAATACGACTCAGGTTATCAGTCTAGATGATGTATTAAACACAAACGAGGATACAGCACTAGCAAGCAAATATCAAAGCAAGTAAAACTGTTCTGGTACAAGTGGTTCACCGTATTAACCTCGAGAAAGAAGTCCCTGGAGAGAACCAAAAATACCCTGCCTTCCTGCCTGCATTATTTTGAACAAGAGAGCAAGTTTTTAGATATAGTATTGTCATATTGATCCAGGACAAAACTAAGCCATACCAAAACTACGAACCTTTCTGTTGCTAAATAAATCTTCTGCAACAGCTTCCGCCTTTTTTCGCTTCTTCTCTTCCTCCAGAGACTTGACCATTTCCTCACTATCAAGATCAGAATCTCTAGTGTCCAGAAAAGAAAAGAAAAGACGAATGAATACGATACCAAAGAATGCAATAAAACTGAGCTCAGAAATGTGGATCTTACTTGTAAGGATACTTTGAAAATGGAACGAGATTGTTGAAGCTATTCCCTGACTGAATGTTGGTCTACAAAGGATAAAAGACTTGGGAGTGATTCTATGGTCCAACGTAACATAAAATGACAACTTCAAATTAATGTAAATGGCAAGTCATGGATGCCTACTAAAGTAATCCAGATTATCCTATTGATATGATCCTGGCATTGAACTCCTAGCACAAAAGGTATATTTTTGTGAGGAATTGTCAAAAATGAGCAATAAAGAAGCCACCAACATTTCATCACCATGAGTTGTAATTCAAATTAAAAAGAAAAGAAAAATCTGCACATATTTGAACTTTACACAAGCCAAAGGTACTTGATCCAGTCTAAAACACCAATACTGAATGATGAATGAAAAAATATTGAGATCATTACCTTTCGAAAGCGCTTGAAATTCGGACCTCTAATATGGTCTGTTGTGCAGGTAATGGTGGAAGGTAAACATGAATCTCTTATAACTAAATCTTGGCTGTAAATAACATCAGAATTTCCACATTCAGACTCATCAACCTTTTGCCTTCTAGCAGTCAAACCACCCTCAAAGCTCACAACATGGTGTTCCTCCACCTTAGTGGCATCATAAGACATGGTTATTTTCTCTTTGCTCTCATTGTTAGGGGATTCTACTGAGATTTCCACTTTTTTTACATAATCCAGGGCTACTTCATTGTTCGCCTCACCAGCTGTATGAACCGAAGCAGCAGTTTTATGAATTGAGGTGATTGCTTCACCTTCTTCCTCAGAGTCAGCTACCACTGTCTCGTCTGAGGAGCATGAAGAAGAAACAACTACTGCAAAGACATGTTCTTCTGTTATTTAACTTTTGTAGACAGAAAGTCAATGAATGTCAATCCAAATTCTAAGGTGACTTCCTTAAGAGCTTATCAAGGAATAAAAAGGTAGGGTAAAGGGTTGTTATATAGTGCAAAAGTTCCCAGCAAATAGGAATTTAGAAGGTATAGATTATTTGAAAATACTTAAGTAATCATGCAGATAAGCGAGCCAATGGAGTGGTAAAAGGAAAATTGAAAGGGTTACGGGTACAATGCTGCTAATAAAATAAATATTAAGACATCAATTTAATGACTTCATTTAGAAGCAAACACACTTGCCCGGAATATAATCAGAATACTTACCAGATGGTGGCATCAATATTGATTCATCTAGTTGTCCAGATAAAGCAGCACATACTAGTTCCATTTCATTGACTCTAGATAATAAACTGTGCTTATTGAAGCGATCAAACTTATCCATTGATCCTCGAGGGATGACACATAAAAGACGAGTATTGTCTCCATAGTCTGAAGCCTACAAGAAGTGTTCAATTGAAAAACATAAGAAAAGCTGACCAGAGAATATATCATATCCCTAATAATGATGGTAGTATATTCCCAGGATTCTAAATCAAAATGGTACCATTTTCTCTTTTCATGACCTTTTTCCTAAAAAGACCACAAGCCTTTGCATATATTTCACAAAGATTTTAAAACCATGAAAGTACAAAGGCATTGAAAGAATTGTACTTGAGTTTTGGATACACAATGATCATGTCAACTTCTTAAAATTTTTTTAGACAGTTAATAAGTAAAGTACATACTTTTCAAGTTTGGACTAAGATGTATTTTATACTGAAGCTTTAGGGGGGGGGGTTGTATTTTCCATAGCAAAAAATGATTTTGTAGTTCATTAAAACAGGGAGTGAAAAGTCAATGAAGATAGTGATGAAGAAGATATACAGCATTGAGAACTTGGCTATTTGGATTAAAGCTTTCAGCAGAGATACAATTTGCACCGGTTACTTCTAGTAGGGCTTGCAGTCTCTCTCCAAAGTTATACTGCATCAAACAAAAGAATATAAGATGAACATTTGCAATGTTCATTCAAATATCCATAGAGAAAACTCAAACTAGTTATGCTTCTGAGCATGAAGCAAATTTTCAAAATTAGTTTGCATCATCACAGCACTGCAAACAACATTTGCATATCCTGGAATACGAAAAGACTAAATGCTGTTCTACAAGCAAGCACACTAAGCTACATTTGCATGCACAAACGACTGAATTCCAGGTGAAATCTGTAAACATGTTAATATTCTATACTGCAGTTCAGTCAATAACTTGGATTCAGGACAATAGCTTAAGAATATAGATTATCAAGGCAACTAAGGAAATGAAACAGCACCATGTCTGTTTGTTCCAACAAAAAGGTGTATCCTTCAAGACAGCTTTCACGAGCTTTTGGCTCCACAATTTCAACAGGCTTTCCTTCAACAAACAATGTTGGAACATAGCTGATGGAGAAAAAGACAATTTCAAATTATACAGAAGAATAACTTCATTGAATTTAAGTCCAATTCAACAAGATCAACAACAATAAATAATACTTACGAGTTGCAGCTAGGAATTTCAGTGCAAATGCTTTTTTCTGCCATAAACTAAATTAATGCAGCAGTTAGCACCACTACTGGAGAAAACTATAAGGAAAATAGATTCAGCAGGTTATTGATTTTTCCATCTACTGCCAGTTTGCTCATCAATTAATCAGTCAATGGATACATAGAGATAATAAAACATAGGAAAATCATGTATAGAGCCAGTATATGTTTTCAGACTGCAAATGACTTGGCATGGTAGTCAGTTTATAAACACAATGATAAGGATCAAAAGAATCCAGTAAATAGGATATTGATTTTTTTCCTTTTGTGACAAGGGGAATAAATCCCATTAAAAGCAAACTAAAATACTTGAGTCCCACAGAATGTGACCACGCAAATTGAACGAAAATTTCATCATAGAGCAGAAAAATTAATCCATCAAGCTTGATCAAAACTAGCTGGTCTACATGTTATACCATGCATATATTTAGCCAGTTAAGACTTGAGAGATAAAAATAAACTTTAAAACTCTGGATCAAATGCATTCTTCCATCAACATAACAATCCAGAGTTCATTAGAATCAAAATTTTAAAATTTTCAAACTGAATTATATGAAATGCACCAAAAAAAAAGTATGTAGGAAGAGTATACCTCAAGCCAACTACAGAGAGCAAAAGGCTTCTTTGCCACAATAGCATCAAGTAGATCATCTTTTACTGGAATATTGCGATCAACCAGCACATGTGTGCACTCTTGACCAAAAACAGGAGTAACAGAAGCACCTTTACAACAATAAAAAGGGAAGCTATATATTGAACAGAAATCTATAGATATTATCAAAATTAAATAACATCATATGCAATGAGTATAATCTTTGAAAAAGTAGGTCATTCTTAGGCAAATCCATTATTTCAGTTCTAAAAACAAAGCACTGAAATTACTGTGTTGATATATTTGAAAGACAAAGTGCAAAACTGTAGCTGACTGAAAAATTAGCAAACAACCTCATAAATAAACTTTGAATTTGGCAGTTAAAGCAAAAACTTATCACTAACCAATTGATGAAACTTTATCCTGAATGGGATGATTCACCTGAAAGGGCTCAGAGCAGCAGATATAGAATACAAAAGGTACATAGCAGAACCTGCACCGGATTTAAAATTAAAAGGACTAACCATATCAGAAGAAGAAAGCAGAAGCAAATCATAAAGGATCTTTATTAGTTAACATTTGAAACTAGTCAGTAGGAGCTAAACACATAAAATGATCGAGAACATGCAAAATTGCATACAACATCATTATACTTATAAGCCCAAAAGTGCTTCACCAAATTGCTAGGCATGCCACAAATGCACAAGACAGCAATAAAAATAAATAACTACCTGTAGTTTGCATTACCAGTACCAAATGAAACCAGGTCTCCATCTTTTAGAGTTGCTTCTTTATTTGGCAACTCATGTACTTTTGCCTTCAGTCCAAGGTTTTTGTTAACAAATGTCCCATATTTTGAGCAATCTTTAATTTGGACTTTGGATGATACAAGAGAAGGATTACTCTCTAGCGGATTCAAGGATATCATTTCTTCCACAATTATCTCAGCATGGATTCGAGAGACGCCTTTGTCTTTACTAATGATAACATCACAACCTAAAACAGAGAAAAATTAAATCATGATCAGTATGATACAAAAAATTGTTGCAAAACCACGCAGTTAACAAAAATAATGTCACCCTGAAAACTTCCATGGGAGGAAAAGTTGGGGATGTCGGTTGGTTATATAAAAGCTGCCTAACTAGGCCCTTAAGAAATGTATCTTAAGAACAGCTCTATTAAAGATTTCCCATTTCCCTCTTTCTGTAAGTAAGTTTAACAAACAATTCTCATCCTACTGAAGTAGTTGGTTCTTTACATTTTCTGCCCAACTTTTTCCAAGTCAAAAGACCTCACTTCCTTCCCAGGAAGCAATCCATACAACCCATTAAAGTACTCCAGAGATTATACCCAGTGATTGCAATGCATAGAGCAGGAGATTATAAAAATCACAATGTTGGTACTGAATCAAACAGAAAACAGCACACCTTTTCGACCCACTTTATACGTTCCCTTCCTGAAAATATAGTATTTATCTTCTCCTGCAACCAGAATCGACTAAATTCAGTTACTAACCCAGAAAAGGGCAAATTTTGATTTGATTCTTAAGCTTACACAAAAAATTTCATTGTAAGATAAATAATCAAGGGAAGAAATGAACTAACCTGAAAGAAAATCAACGGGGAACAGACCCCACACCATAATTTGGCAAGGAAATTGAAGCTTCAGTGAAACAGTAAGGAAAATGGAAATGAAGTGCTGAAGATGGTGAGGGTTTTACAAGGTATATCAGGGGACTCAGAGAGGGTTTAATTGGTCTTGTGTATATATATATATATATATATTTTATGGCGAATTTATTTATCCTTAAATGAGTGAAATTATATTATATGGTACTAAAATGAAAAGTGTTTTGCTTTCTGAGGTGCCCAAATGCAAAACATTACCGAGAAGGGCTAAAGTTATGAGAATAATTTTTTTAATAATTTTTTATAGGTATGATTAAAAATTGTTAATATTTAAAATTATTATAGTAATTAACTAAATTATTTTATTAATTTAATATTTTAATTCAATTAATTAAAATAATATTACTTTACTTTTTATCTTTTCCCCTTCACCATTTTTCTAAATCTAAACAAGTTATAGGAAGGCTCCCTGCATCTCTAATTTATTGCAACACACTGAGTTCAAACCATACATATATTTTAGCAATGAAATGTTAGGGTCATTGTGGCTTTTTGGTTCTTAGTTTAATTTAAATTTTGTATACATTATGTTTCCGACCCCAAGGGACAAGGGCATTCTTAACCAATTTCTCATTCAGGAATGTCTCCATGGCAGAGAAATCGTAGCATAAATACCTCTGGGATCAAAGGTTCAACAAGAAAAACCCATCATCAAAACCCGAAATGCATGCTGATTTGATGTTATTAACAAAAGGTGGATTTAAGCTTCTGAAATAAATACATAGGGAGAAGGTATATGTATAGAAATAAACCAAATCATTTGATTCATTTCTGGGGTACAAAACCATGACCTAAAAAACCAGTAAAAATGCTGAAGAAGATATGTATAGGAAGTAGTGGCATTAACATTAACATAAGGTAGATTTAAGCTTTCGAATTTTCTGAAGACATGATTCAGCCCTCTCCAGAACCAAATCAACTCTTCTATCTCCTTCCTCCCCTCTTCCAAACTTTCCTTCTCCCCTCTTCCTCTTCCTACCTGTACTCGACGCTGTTGAAACCACAAAAATGAAATACTTTATATATGCATCAAGATCATGCCATTTTAACTTGAAATAAATACATAATGGGGTTCATAATTATATATGCAGCGGATGATTGTGAGATGACCTTGGGTTGCAACAGTAACAGTGGAGGAAGAGGGCTGTTGAGATTGGAGGAGGAGAATGAAAGCTTTGAGGTCAAGTTTGAGGTACTGGAAACGATTAGGGTGGTGGGTTTCCAGAAGCTCCAGCTCCTCCTTTGCCTGTTGTATCATTTCGCTGGGAGACCATTCCATTTTCTCTTCTTCTGTGTGTGCAGCAAGAGGATGGACAACAGGCGTGCCATCTAAATTAATTTACAATTTATTGATTTGACGACCGACTTACTGCTGCGCAAGGCACGAGGCATTGGAGAGAAAGCAGAAGGTAGGTTTCCCTGTTGGCTGCTGGTATTAATAAATGCTCTAGGGACCTGTGCAATTTCCCTGCAATTTCCCTTTTTCTTTTTTCTACCAAGAGGAGGGTATTTGATGGTCCCTTGTTTTGTTATCGGAATATATGAGAAATGTTTATTTAATTTGTGTTTTCCGTATTTATATTAAAAATATAATAAATATATTTTTTTATAATTAATTTATATAAAAATTGATATATATTTTAATATTATAAGTATGTGAATGATTTTAATGAAGTAAATTAAAATTAATATTTATATTTTTAATAAAAATTAATTATAAAAAAATATATTTATTATACTTTAATTTTACGTTCATAAAAAAATTATTTTTATCTAATAATTATTATTTTGTAATTTAATATAATTCAAATTAATTTTTAGTATTTCATTTGAATTAAAAAATTAAAGTTTGTAATTTTAATTGAAAATTAGATGGAAGCATGTAACATAAACATGAATGGGAGTGAAGAGGGCAAATGGAAAAGAAAGTGAAGCATCTATTTGTTTACAATGATGAACTTAAACAAGTAAACAACAGAAAATAACACATACGGAGAACATAAAGATGGTAATTAATTGCTTGGGGGGAATAACCCAGAATGCGTCCTAAGACAACTTTAATTAAGCAAATGAGGGAGCCTAAGAACTTAAGAAAGCATCCACCTTTGCATTCATTTGCCGTGACAAGAATTTCATGCAGATGGGTGGATTCACTCGAGCCAGTGCCAGTATTGAGCTGGGCAGAGTCCATATCCCATCCCCACATATCAATCCAGATGCAACTGCTGGTCCAAATGCATCTGCCTTTGCCTTGTTCACCTTCTGCCACACAAACAATATCAAGCTTCCCACACACATGTCAATGGCAAAGTATGCCCCGAGGTAGAAAGGTATTGCCATTGCCATTGGGAGTGGAATGTATCTGGCCCACTTCTTTCCAACTGCATCTCTGATTCCATTGATGGCTACCGCAGCGGCGAAGAATACATAGCATAGTGTGAGGCAGTGATCTGGCAATGAATGGAATCCTTCCACCCCCAATATGGACATGTTACGGTACACCAGTGCGTAAGGTGCGGGGTACTGGGAGTCAGGAGTTCCAAGACCCGGAAAGGCCTTATAGAAGAGCCAGAACACACATGGTGAAATCACACAGCCCATAGCGGTTCCAATAATTTGGCTCACAAACATGGACCTTGGTGAGGCCAATGTCATGTAACCTGTCTTAAAGTCCTGCATCAGGTCAGATGCTGTGGATACTATGTTCATCATCACTCCACATGCTGCTAATCCTGCAAGAACCCCTCCATTAGCAGACCCTGCCCAAGCCCCAATTGTGAATATTGCAAGCTTCCCGTAAGTGGAAGCCAAGGACCAATCTGTCAATCCGCATCCATAAGCATTGCAGAAGGCTAGGATCGGGGCAATGATGTAAATAACTAAGATATAATACCACTTGAGCTGGTGGAAGATAAAGGGAAGTGTGATGATAGAGATGACTGCAACTATGACATATCCGGCAATAGCAAACCATGTAGGAATTTGGTCCTTGAGAAAGAGTTCAGTCCGGCGTTGGTCATCATAGGTAAGAGGAGGTGGAGTACTGTCTGGAGAAGAGGTGTTAACTGGGAGAACAGTGCGTGACTCTCTGTTTTTGAGCTGCTTCTGTAAAGCAATTAAAGTGTGAGTGAGGACCTTGACGAAGTTATAGAGGCCATCACCAAGGATCATGGCTATGCCTATGAAAACCTGCAGGGAAACGAAAAAGGGGAAACTTGTGAGGCGATTGGACTGCAGATTGTGACTCACAAGAGTCTTTTGAACATAAAAAGCAACAAGTTACCCTGTATCCTTGAATGCCATGGAGACTACTATCACTAAGGTCAGCAGCGTACCAAACACCCTTTCTAGTTTCTATGAGAGGCCACAAAATTCCCCAAGAGAGAATCGCTCCAAGCAGAAGAGATATGTTAATCAGATAAGGGCAGATCATCCCGACACCAACATAGGTTGCTGAGAAATCAAAATAAAACCTGCTTCCACAACCAAACAGGGCAATCATGAATATGCAAAAAGACACACTGCAATGAGAAATTGAGAATGCATTCTAATTACACTCCATTGATGGGTGTGGTGAGTTACGTACCTGTTCTGATAGGCTTTGAGACCAAATGAGGGGAAGTTGACAAATCCACAATCATCTCCTGCAGTGAAGAACCATTGGAAGAAACCCCAGAGAAAGCTGAAGGAGAAGAACTTGCCCAATGCTCTCACTTGTTTCCTATAGATTCAGATTTCAGACAGAAAGAGAAGATAAATAAGACCACACATTAAGTGAGTACACAACAGCTCTAATGAAAGACTTACTTTGCTAACTTGGCACCCTGAGGGGTGTGGAAACTGTTGATAAGGTGGGCAGTTGCTGTTCCACTTGGATATGTCAGTCTGAACTTTATAACCATAATCTGCAACAAAATTTTACCAAACATTAATGAAGAAATGTGTCCAAAGAAACAAAAATTATATCAGGATTTGGTGGTTGCAAAATTGAAATACTTTTCCAAGAACTTGCAAATATACCTTTCGGAGAGGAACCACAGAAAACAGGCCAAGAAAGCTAACAGTAAAGAGGAATCCAATAATCCAACCAAGTGAGGGGTTTTTAATGTTGTTAGCATAATTGGATTCAGAAGATTGCTTGGCAACAACTTCGCTCATAGCATAAAGGTAGCTTCCAAAACCCCCTGTTAAAATGGGAATTTTCTCTACAGTGAGAATGAATTCATGCTCCATTGTTGGAAGAAATTCAGCAGTCAAGTAAACAGTTTCCTTTCTTCATTCACATTAATTAAAGAAACACTTACGTCCCTTTAGTCATTCATCAAGGAAAAATTAATGCAAAGAAAAAGAAAGTCAACGGAATAGTATGTTCAAAGCAAGGAACGAAGTTTGGATCAAGATCATCATCATATATGCATATTACGGCTTCTTTGACAATAATGCTTTGAGCAGACTTTCACCTAGTATTTTACTTAAAAATCTAAATTTATATAATTTTTAATTAATTATACATATTAATTTTAATTAATATTTTCTATAATTCTAAAATAATAAAAGAAAAGTAATATCTACAACCACAACATAGTATGAAGCTTAAAATCTCATTTGAATTTTATTTTTTTTATTATTTTAAAAAATATATTAAATATTAATTAAAATAAATATTAAATATATTTTATATATTTTAAAGATATTAAATAATTAAAAAAATTACAATTATAACTATAAATTAACTTTATTAAACTAAGCCTGAGTCAAACTTTTCAACTTTGAACTTCAACCCACTTCTGTTGACAATTTTATTATTGCTTAAAGTAAAGAAAGTCTAAAGGATTCTACTTTATGCGTAAGCAAAAGAATCTGCTTACTATTCATCCATAACGTTGAATCTAATCTTACCCAAAGAAGAAGAAATAAAAAAAATAAAAACAGCATCTGCCCTTCGAGTCAAGTGGTTTCTTGACCACATGAAGATGCACTCTCCCTCTTAGTAGGGTTCAAACCCGTCCTATGTAATATCATTAAAAAAAAAAGAAAAAACGAAAATGTCGAATCTAAGTGCACCAAGAAACTTTCCAACAATTATTTGTTTTGAATTCCTAGTGGACAAACAATTTTTTATGAATTCAGAAATGAAGGGTTTGAATTCCATTTTCAAATTCGTATCAACAAAAAGATCGATCTTTTGCTTGTCATGGTCATCATCAATCGTAGAAAACTTTCCTAATGACTATATCTTTATACTCATTCGGACAGATTGTCAACCTACTAAATTCCCATTTTTGGTGTAAAACGGATTCCATTCCACCCAATAAAAGTCATTCCATACTGGTCAGATTTATTGATCACTTATAATTTTGCTGATCATTAAAAAAAAAAAATGATCACATAAAATTTCAACCCAATTTTATAAAATTCATTAATATTTTACAAAAAAGAAAGGTCATCTAAAATTTGATGTTAGTCAAAAACAATTTACATATATGTGGTTCTGAGAATAAAAAAAAATAATTTACACTCTTATAGTAATTTTCAATATAATAAACTAATATTTTATTTTAAAAATCTGTTAAGTTGTTTTGTTTTATTCATATATATCATTACGTATAAAACTTCAAGTTAATCTTGACTCTATATAATTATTTGATAAAAAAAAAAAAAAGAAACATTCAATTTAATGATTTGTTACATCATGGACATCTAAAAAAATTGATTGATCTCTTCGTTTATTTTTAATAAATTTAATTTGACATTTTAAATATGAATTTTAAATAAAAATTTAACAATTTATATTATCAACAATTGAAAAAAAATTTCATATATGTAATTTTTATTAAAGTAGTGATATAGGGCTAATTTAATGTAAGGAATAATAAAAAAAAATTAAATAATCTAAATGAATTAATACACAAAAAATATTTTAATAATGATATTTAAATCATTTAATGAGAAATATTGACATTTAAAGTGTTTTGAGGTTTGGATTTTCACTTTTTTCATATATTATATTTTAATTTAGAATGAAATTATAATGAAAGAATCTGAATTTTATTTACTTTTTTAAGATAAGATTATAACAATAACAGAATTATAATTTTTCAAAAAATTAATCAAACAATAATATTTTTAAATTACAACAGGCTTTTAAAAAAAAAATCAAGACAAATATTACACTATATTTATTTATTTATTAATTTGCTTCACCAATGCAGCAGCTTATGCTATAATTAGAGGGAAGAGAGCCATAGAAAACTCTAGTTAAGACAAACTTCACCTCATGAACCGTGCATCACCATAGCTATAATCACTAAATGTCATTATAATTGTTTTGTATTATGTGTTATTGTACCTATAAATAACAAAGATTAGGAATAGAGTGATTTTGGACATAAATAATTTCATTCATTTTATGAAGACAATTTGAGTAAAGTTCACCAACCTTTAATTTGGTGATTTCCCATTGGAGTGCGAACTTTTTCAACAATTTTTTCAATTATTGTAATGATTCATTTACCACAAACCTTTTATTTTTCACTTTCTTTGCACACAAATCTTAATCAAACACAACAAAACTAACTTTTACTTAATCAAAGAACCTCATTTCTTTTAAATTTAGCTTAAGGGTCAAGTTACAACCACTGGTATATATTCTCAAGAAAGCATATACTCCATGAAACATTAAAGTAGTGATATATGGTTAATTTTTTTATTAGGTTTTTATACGATTTATATGCATATCATTAAATGAATAAATATATTTAATATCACGTATTTTATATCAATAAAAAAATTAATTATTTAAATAACATGTAAATTTATATAAGAAGATAATAAAAAAGAGTTATCTTAAATCATTTTTCAACATTAAAATGCAAAACTAAGAAGCCGAGAAAAGTGGAACATACCGCTAAAGGCGATGCCGGAGGTGGCGACGACGCAGGTCTGAATAACGGTATTCTCCTGTCTGGTAAAAGGCTGTTTGAGGAGACCGACTTTTTCTATTAACTTCGTCCACGTCTTTATGAAGAAGAAGCCTAAAAGTCCAGCGGAGACGTTGAGCGACGGGATGATACCAGTGGTGAGGTTGAGTTTCATGACTATGAAACTGAAGAGAACCCCAAGCACAAGCGCCACCACTAGTGCTCTGACAGTGATCTGATCTTTCCACGACGGCACCTCCTTGGCTTCAAAGATTTTCTCAATCGACATCGTCGTGTCCTGATCACCCGACGGAGGAGCGTTCCCATCTCCGGCGGAGTCATTGTCATGCAAACCCATTTCTCGGATCTGGGTGGGGATGAGATGAGGCGGCCAAAAGGGGAGTTCTGCTTTTGTGCGAAATTCTGTTGCAGTTTGCGGGAGTGTGCCTATTTATAGGGGGTGCAGAAACCTAAAGGCCTAATGCCAAGGGGTGTGGAATGGTATATGATTTTTAAAACGATGCGAAAACCAATGGGGTTGGTTTTGTGTGAACGCTGATTTGGTGGGAGTGGGCTGACACAGAAAAGGGACAGCTATCACTTGCTTTAAAAAGTCAGAGGGGCTGTCGAGAGATTCTTGTTTCCATATTTGCATGATTTGTTTCCTTTCATTTTCCTCGTGATAATAATGTGGAAAAAAAAAA